CTGGACTGCTCTAATGTACATACATGTACCTCCTTTTTCCATTATGTAATTATGGTATATTTAATAAACATATTTACAAATGCAATATTATTGTGGGTATCTGTTGTCCACGCGGAAATTCGAAACTGCTTGAAAAATATGCAGCCAGCATATGCCCATACATATTTACATACTTAGATAACACTACATATATTTGAATATTTAAAAGTGAAAGTTTGACTTTAACTGACTTGAATATGTTTTTGGAGTGTTTGTATGCACATACATACATACATGCTAGCATATGAATGTAGGTTCCCAATAAACATTGGGCTTGGTTAACAATTCGAAAATGGTTGGAAAACTAACATTTTTTTCAAGTCTCACCTTTGATAACGAATGTGGAATAGGTTAGTACTCGATTCGAGAACTAGGCCATTCTCCAGCAAAACGGAACCTTCGTTGTCCAATGAATTTTTTCTTCGTTATGAATTCGAAATCCAGCCCATTATCGAATTGAAATTTTAATGAGAGAGAGTGATTGCATTATATTTCCATTCGAAAATGAGCTGGATTTAACTTCCTCTCTTGTTACTATGGTTTTAATTTTTTTTCGAACCCATCTCGAATGTATTTCCAATACACTATGAACGTTGGAAAACTAAGGTTGGTTTTGAGTTCATTCTCAGTTCGATATTCATATTGGATATCGAAGGTAATTTTCGAATGTTCGCCAAAATGTTTATAGGGTTACCACTTAAGAAGGAAGTATAATGTAGTATGTAAATGCATTAGTTGTAGGTTTTTTAAGAGAAAGACTATAAGAGAACTTAAAAATAATAATTTCAGCCTTAAAGCTTATAGCTTTTTCATGAAAATAAGTTTTCGATTAAATGAAAAATATCAGGGCATTGAAATAGGTTTCAAAAAAGAAACTCNTTGGATATCGAAGGTAATTTTCGAACGTTCGCCAAAATGTTTATAGGGTTACCACTTAAGAAGGAAATATAATGTAGTATGTAAATGCATTAGTTGTAGGTTTTTTTAAGAGAAAAGCTATAAGAGAACTTAAAAATAATAATTTCCGCCTTAAAGCTTATAGCTTTTTCATGAAAATAAGTTTTCGATTAAATGAAAAATATCAGGGCCTTGAAATAGGTTTCAAAAAAGAAACTGACTACATAATAGAGCTGTTCCAAAGCTGCACAATAAAAGCATAAAATGCAACATATTTATTTTAGCAAAAAATTAACCAGTGCTAGGAAAATTCGGTATCGTTCAGTTATCCGAATTACTATCGTTAGTGATACCTGTAACCACGTGTTTATCAATTTATATATTTTATTTGAAATCATTTTCGTATTTGTTTCCTTATCGTCGGTGATATTGCAAAACGTTCTATGTCACTTATTACCTCTGGTGAGTAATTGATCTGTTATCTGTATCTGATCGCTTCTGGCAATCATTCATCTTCATCAGCCAATGGTAAGCAATTTTGTTATTCGTATATTAGGGTGTAATGATTTGCAAATGCATTCCGGTGCAAGTAAGATACCATCTAAGTGTCAAGGGTACTAACAGACATAGACCGTTTTGCAGTATCACCGACGTTATGCTTTGCAAAATAGTGCAAGCTGACAGTTGGTAGAGGCTTAATGTATCCAATGGTAGTAAAAATGTTGTCTATTAACCTAACGGATCCAGACAAGAGCTATCTTTTGCCTATCCATCGGAANATTCATCTTCATCAGCCAATGGTAAGCAATTTTGTTATTCGTATATTAGGGTGTAATGATTTGCAAATGCATTCCGGTGCAAGTAAGATACCATCTAAGTGTCAAGGGTACTAACAGACATAGACCGTTTTGCAGTATCACCGACGTTATGCTTTGCAAAATAGTGCAAGCTGACAGTTGGTAGAGGCTTAATGTATCCAATGGTAGTAAAAATGTTGTCTATTAACCTAACGGATCCAGTGATCCATTAAATAGCACATTGGAGCAAAAATGTAAAATATTACTTCTAAAGCACGAGAATAGCTAAGATATAGAAGCGTATATGATTCAATGCTTTTGTGATTATTATTCCTATCTTAGTAAAATAATGTAGTGTAAAAGTTACGTCTCGTCGGCCGCTGTGGTGTAGTGGTAAGCAGTGCGCGCTTTCACTCATCAGCACCTGGGTTCAAACCTTGGTCAAAGCAACATCGCAAAAAATATAGAAAAAGGTTTTTTCTTAACAGCGGTCGTCCCTCGGCAGGCAATGGCAAACCTCCGAGTGTATTTCTGCCATGAAAAACAGCTTCTCATAAAAATACAATCGCCGTTCGGAGTCGGCGTAAAACTGTAGGTCCTTACACATATGTTAGTGTTAGTTCAAAAGGGCTGAGTTTCTCAGCACATGCTAAAAATGTATAGTCGAAGGGAGAAGGAAATTTAATACAGGAGGGCTAGCAGAACTTTATAATCTACCCAATGCTTAAAATGTACCACGATTGTAACAAAAGTGGAGAGAAGTTATTTGTCTATACTCACTGCTGTTAACGCAAGGATCTGGACCATGGGGACTTACGGGGGTAGCATGGCGGGACTAAATGCACAACAACTGTGGACTCAACTGTTACTGTTCGGATGCCGGAGAAGCAGTAAAACAGCTCCTCTGCAGCTAGCACTGTCCTAGGAGTGACTTATTCCTTGGCAGGCCTACATACTTATATAAAAATTGGTTCTGTAAGCCCCGCCTAATTCTCTATGAACAAAAGCCAGTTAAAAATCGATATTGTACAAAAAATACTGTATCTTATAAACATCAGAAAAGTATTCTAGCTAGTTATTTTGCATTTGTGTGTTTAATGTAGCTAGTTGATATTTCTTCTTAGACCTGAGCGAAAAAAAAGAGTTCACGCAAATGGAATGTGATTAATTAAAAAATATTACACGCAATTCAAACTCGTCAATCTTCGAATGAAAGTGCACCTTTATTGTTGTTATTAAAACGCTTGTAAGTCTTCATCCAAATGCAATCGAAGCCGTTTACTCATTTCTATCAATAGAGCACATCTTAATCGCTGCTCAACACATACCTATGGCTTAAGTGGCAAATTCATGTAAGTACATATGTATGTATGTATGAACATACCAATGCACAGTGGTTCAAAAGTGGCATTAACTGTTCATAATTCACTGGACCTTTCATGAGCATGAAATGGTATTATAACGTTGGTCCGATGTATGTAAGTACCAGAATAAGAAAATGTGCACTTATACGATCAGAGCGTTGAGCGATTTAGCCAAGTCCGACTGTCTATCGTTTTCGAGATATCCGACAGAAATTTGGTAAGTGAGTGTATTTTCATAATGTATTAACTTTTCTTGTAATTTTGTTTTAGTGTTTGGCAACTCTACAATTGTTTTCAACTAGTTTTTAATATATAAAATTTATTAACTGGAGCAGGAGAATCGATTTGTTTCAAAATTGCTGTTTTTTCTGCACTTTGCACCAAAAAATTTAATATAACCAAATAAAAATCGAAAAATCGGGCTCAACTCGGTCTCTTGCTAATTTTATAAGATTTCGTTAAACAAAAAATAATCAGATTGAGTGAAAAACGAAGGCCCCAGTGAATTATTAGCCTTAAATTCCAATTTTGAACCACTGTGCAATGACGTTGATATACAATCTTAATTACTTACAAGTAAGTTCATAGTGACATGCAACATCTGCTTGTGGCGCTTCAACGTACATAACATGCATGTCTAAGTGAATGTACTTTAGCGATTTTTTTCTGGCAAGTCAATTGGAGTTCCACCCCAAAGCAGATTAGCACACATATCGAATTTTTGTATCTACATATATTTATCTTAAACAGGCTTAACGAATGAAAAGTGGAAAACCAATGTGCTAAAGATATACATATACATACATACATAGGCTCGCGAAGAAAACATGGAAAGTTAAGAATTGGAACTCCAGCTACGTGAAAGAGGTGTAAGATAGTCGCAAGCACACGACGACATCAAATGAGTATGGAGACCAGCTATCGAGCCGGTTGGCATACCAGAAGGCAAAAGCAGTAGAAAAAATCGTCTTTATACTAGCTTCATTTGGCTAGTGGGCAAATATCAAAATATGTACGTATATATGTACACATTTACATACATATACGTATATGCATGTTTATATGGCATTGAAATATGCGAATAAATATGTACATAGTTATGTACATATAACGTCACGCTTACCAAAATTCAAACTGGTGCGCATGCGCAGTGGTTCTTAGTTACAAAATAAGCGCATATGACCACGTATGGCGCGTGCTCACATATTTACATACGTGCATACCTACTATGTGTATAAACATTTATAGTTAGTGGCTCCCATTTGGGAGTTGGTGGACCAGTTAGTCAATTGGCTTGATAGCGGCAGTCAACTGACTAGGCGACAAAAATAGATTCACAGCAATTTATGTTTGTGGAGCAAAACAGAGACACTGCAAATGCTGAGCATTCAAGTTGTTGCTGCAATCAATGAATGCGTGCAACAACTGTGCAACTTACGACGTTTATGGCGTTTTTGGTGCCTGATTGCATGCCAGTAATTAATTGCCTGAGGAGTTGAATAAAATTCAATATGCCAACAACAAGCGAGCTGAAATGTGACCAGTATTCAGAGTTAAGAAAGTGGTGCAAAAGTGCAATATACATATGTATGTATGTAAATTAAACTAGCTTAGGTTTCTAGTGGGGTAACTTGTATTTCTCGTTTGCAAACTATTCGGCAAACTATTTCTTAATAAACATACAGATATGCCTCTAGGTATACTTTCTTACTTATAAAAAAAATTTGTATTGTTTATGTAAATTACAGCGATTACCAAACAGCTTGTAAATGCGCATCGTGCTATTATAACGCCGAAAAGTATGCAACGTTTTTGTATATTTTTAATTTATTTAAACTTTAGTAATTGCATAAATGTTATGTATGTATGTATGTAGTTTTAGTAAGCAAATTTTGTAACTCACCTGCTCGGAACACCTCACCACAGCCATCACAGCGTGATGCAAATTGTGCATCATAACAAGTGCCGCAATAGATTTTATCGGCTTTGGCGCCGAATTGCTTATCCACCAACGACAAATGGCACTTGAAACATAGGAAGCAGGCTTCGTGCCAATGCTTGTCTTTGTAGGAAAGATCCTGGAGAATGATAGAAAGCGAAAAGTGGTTTAGGAAATGCTGATTGTGTAATATGTAATATAATAAATGTTTTTGATGGTAACACCGCGCGATAAGAACCAAAAAATTTCAAAGGACACAAAACAATCAATATATTCCCGAAACTAGGGGCCAAATATATTAAAACGGCGGTTTTTGTTTTTCTCTCTGATGTCAGGGTATCTTTTAGAAGATGTCTGAAATTTTAAAGATATGATTAATTCAAAAAATTATTTAGAAAATTCCGTAGAATTTAATATAATTTATTTCTTTGGTTCGCAAAGGCGAACAGGAATTGAAAATGAGCTTCTAAGTATATTTTTTTATCCTGAACTAATAAAGTGGGAGACGGATTTCGAGGCCGAGTTAATGTATATATTAGTTCTTAATACACAATTTTTTTTCAAAAATAATTGTTTGAAATTTTTAAGGATAATCGAGGATAAGTGTTTAAAAGGACATTATCAATATTTCTTGTGCACCAAAAAATAAAATGCTTTTCAGTTCCACAAAATTTTCTGTTTTATTTGATACCCATATTGATATTCAACATTGCACCGATTTTTTTTTATAATTTTTTGAACTAATAATCATATTTTTCAGAGTCCCCTGAAAAATCCTAACGTCATAAACAAAAACTAATATCTCCCACAAGTTTTGCAGAGTATGTATTTGAATTAATTTTTGTATGTGTAAAATTGATTGTCTGTAACATGATAAATTTTACCTAACATACAAATTATAATCGCAAATCGTCCCTAAATTCGTATTTCAATTAACTGCACAGAATTTCAAAGCGTTAAAGGAGAATTTTTTTCTGCATAAAGCATTTCGATGGCTGAGTGGAAGATCGACATATTTCGGCAGCCAGTTCGAAAATGCCCTGTCTCAGAAAACTTTTCAGGAACGTACTTTTTCCGAATTGGATTGAAAAACGCCCTATCTCAGAATTTGATTGAAGAACACCCTATCTAAGCTGCCGACTGAAAAACGCCCTATCTCAGCTTATTTTTAATGTATTTTCGTTTGAGATATTGCGTTTTCGAACCGCATTCTGAAATAGGACGTCAATCAACCAAATTGTGAGATAGTGCGTTTTCAATCAAATTCTGTGGTAGGGAATTCTTGAAAAGTTTTCTGAGATAGGACGTTTTTGAACTGGCTGCCAAGATAGGTAGATCTACCACTAAGCCATCGATTTCAGGCAGGTAATTTTCAATAAGACCCTTTCCTTAGAAGTAGTAATTGAATAGCTCTGGCATGCAAAGCCAAATAAAGAAAATAATAGCAGTAGGCGTGCCGGTGTGTTGCTAGAATCAATTTAAATTTTTACTGTGCCATTATTATTTAGGATTATTTCTAAGGGTAGCTGAAAATCTTGACAGTTTGGCTATTTTGTGGCAATGGTCTTGCTCACACCACTCCCGTGTGGTTTCTTTCGGAAAATCGACATGTAAAATAGTAGTATACGTTTTTGTTCGATATATTTACTGATATGTATATGTACATATATAAAACACATTTAACTGATAAAAAAATTACAAAAATTATATTATATATATACAGTGCTATCTGGGTCGAGTGAACTAATTAATGCGNTTTCGAGGTGTTCGTAGCATCGGGTGTTCACTCCAGCCAGATAACACTGTAATATATATTTGTAATTTTGACTAATTTCACAGTCGCTAAATAGCCATTAATTACACAACTCGCGTATATTTCTTAAGATGTCTTGCAAATACATTATAATTCACAAAAGAAATTTCACTACTAATTACCTACATTGCGTACTCTTCTACTACCATTTTCCTGACACGAGATTTCATTTTGCGCCCTTTATTCTTTATTACATAATTCGTCGATTAGGTTACTTTTTTTTGCGAATTCTTTATATATATTTCTATATTTTCAACAAGTTTTCTATAAGCGAGGAAAATATCTGCCACCAGAAATTTAAAAACAGTACACAGAGATCCCGATTTCCAAGAAAAAATATTGTTTTCATAGATGCGAGACCTTTAAGTTCCTCTAAGAATTTACAGGACCACAAAATGAAATATAACTTAATCTTTTGTCAGTTCCGTTCATCTGCAGGTCCAGAAGGTATTGGGGCAGGCATTTATGGTCCCAGGATGAAGCTATCTATGCTCGGTGCATTTACCAACTTACCTAGAGGCTACCTCGACAAAGGAATCCTAATCCTTAGCGACAACCAGGCAGCACTTAATGCATTTTCATCCTTTGAGATAAAATCATGCTTGAGTGCATTGTTGACCTTAATACCCTTGCGGAATTCAATAATATTCAGCTACTGTGGGTGCCAGATCACAAGGGTATACGAGGGAACGAGATAGCGGACGGCTTAGCCAGAACAGCGGCGACTTTGTCCCGGCAGGTCTCGAGCCATTCCTTGCAATAGTCCCAAACACTATTAGGGAAGAGCTTAGGGAACAACACTGGCATAGTACAACAGGTCTTCGCCAGGCCAAAAGCTTACTGCGGGGTATAATCTAAAAAGATATTAACTTTTTAATGTCCGGCCCAAGCATAAACTTAGAATAGATACAGGCATCCCCACTGGACACTGCAGATTAAGAGGACATCTGCACAAGCTGGTAATCTGATCAACCGATCTCTGTCGTTTCTTAGATTCAGCTGAGCTGTAGCGACGCGACGAACGAACAGCATAGGCTCAGTGTGGCCTTAGAAATAGCACATACACAACTAGGTTCTTCCAAAGCCTCTCCTGGATTTCCTGGAATCCTTCGGATTACCAGATGTGTGATGAGTGGAGTGCACAATAGACCCACTAGCTCGCGGTGCATACTTATTTCAAAAATCTATTATCTATCAGTTCATCCCGATGTTTCCGGATCGCTGATCACTATCTCAGCAAGCTTGGGTCAAAGTAAAATTTCGTTTTTCAACAGATATAATTTTTTCATCCCGGATTCTGAAAGAGCGGGAAATCAAAACCAACAGGATTCGACCATAGTATAGATTATAGGTATTCACTCAGAATTTAAGGTCGATATAAATAGTTACGTATTAATTCGACAGGCGGGATCTGTACGCCAATGTACCTCCGCAATTGCGGTGATTTCTCCGCAAGGTAATAGGTAGTATTAGTAAGGGTAAAAGCAAGGGTACGGTAAGCGAGTCCGTCTAGATTGCAATTAGCCCCAGAACCAGAAAATGCTCGTATTAAATATCTAAGTCATCTCATTTAGGATCGGCTGCCGTTAACAGCTCCTTTGGAAGTAAGCGACGTCCTTATCACACAACAGCTAAAACGCGATCTCTGATGGAGCTATCAGTTTAGTTTAGGCATTTTATTCAGGGACCGAAAATAAGTGATATTATGAAGAATTTTTTTTTAAAATCATAGCACAATCGAAATTATTTGATTCATATTCTTACGAGAATTTTTAATAGTTTTAATAATTTTCTCGATCAAATACAATCGTTATTCTTGGATTTTTATTTTTCCGATCACATTATAACCGTTATTGACAGATTTAATTTTTTAAATTATAAAAGATTTAAATCGGTTATAAAAAGCGTCTCTATTATAATGGTTAAGAATGATCGAAAAAATAAAAGTCCAAAATAACGATCAAAGTTGATCGAAAAATAGAAATCACATACTAACGATTAAACTATAATTTTTATTATAAAGATCTTAGCTCTCTATCCGGCATTTGCACAGTGGGAAATATCGGATAAAAATTCTAGCCGCGGCGCTAGAATAACCGTGTTAGTGTAACTTTTTTAACTTTTCTTTAAATTTATTTAATTTCAAGATCCTGATACACTTTTCTTACACTTTGAGTTTGCTGAAATATCTTTTTTTTCGCCTAGTTATCGCATTTGGAAATTTCCTTATTTATGAATTTCTCATAGAAAACATGAAAATTTCAAAAAACGATAACTCGACAAAAAAAAAATATTTGAGCAAATTTAATGGCATTTAAAAGAGTAATATTACGTTTAGAATTTGAGCGGGCTGTTAAATTTAAAATTAATTGGTGCAACCGGGCATAAGTCTTGAACCTTCATATGCTAGGTATTATTTTTAGATATATTTATTTCTTCAATGACGACTTCAAATATGACGAAAACAGTGTATTTTGCACTTAAAGATTAGGATATCCTTAAAAACCTTAACATGAACAATAACTGTGTATTTACTCACCTTCGAATCGATTCCGATGATCTTGTTGCATTCCTCGCACGTATTGGCGAATACATTTTCGTAACATTTAATGCAATACGGATGATCGTCACGAATGACGTAACGCTGTCCAGTTAGACTTTCATCGCATTGCCAACAGCAAAAATGGCCCGAATGCCAATCCTTATCCATGGCCTTCGTATATTCGCCACTGAAAATTAACTGAAAAGGGCAAATAAATAATTTTCGATATTAACAATTGCTGGATGCACTGAGATTTAATTGCATTTGAAATTTGTGTTCAACAGTGTAATATATGTATGTACATATGTAGATAGTATGTGAGTAATGCACTTTTTATGTATGGATTTGTATGGAATATTTTTATTAAAAACTGTGTGTTTGACTTCAAAACGTTGCTTAAAATGTTAATTATGCTTGCAGTGTTTTGTGTGTGTTTTTGTACGAACGAACAGGTTTTTTTGTTAACCTTTTGATTTTAGTCGAAAAACCAATTTGTTGTTTTTTGTTTTACTTTGTACGGTGTACAGTAATTTTTTTGCAGTGTAACATGTTTTTAGTGCAATATGTACTTTAATTTTGAGCAATACATTATTTGTATTGCATGTGTAGAGGTGGTTTTTTGTGGGCTTGTTTTTATTATTTTTGTATATATTGTAAAAACACTTTGTCATGTTGGTATGCTGCACTTGATTATGCGAGTATCCTTTTGTGTTTTTGTGGTTAAGTACACTTGTAAAAATAATAATAATTTTTGTACCTTTTGCGTTAATCATGGAGGGAAGGAGTAACGTGTCGTTTTGTTTGTGCAAAATGCATTTCTGGAGTATTTTTGGAGTGCTTCAGATATTTTGCGCCTTGGCTAAATATTTTTTTTTTGGTGTATTCTGTTTTGAAATTTATTTCATAGCCCTACCCAGTATATATTTTTTAAGCAATTAAAATGCTACAGTTTTTATTTTCATATTTACGCAAACTGTTGTGTAATTTTTATTACTTACATATATAAATCTGTCTACTAAACCTGAATAGTTTATGTTTTGTATAAATATATGTATGTAATTGTACATAGCATGTTTGTATGTATCGTTCAGTTTCTGTTTACTTTCTTCTTGTGTCTGTGAACTTGCACTGCTGCGTTAATGAATACATATCAATTCTCTTAATCGTTGTGGCTTTGAGTAAATTTATTTGTGTTTATTAAAAACCCATTAATAAAATTTAGTTTTCGAGGGAAATTAGATTTGTTTAGATTTTCGCTGAACTTATTTTTAGCGCAGATTTCCTCATCGTCTATGAGGTTGCTAGCCTGCAAGGCGATCTGGGCATGGGCATGAAAATCGCTTTTTTTTCTTGTTCGCACACAAATTTAAATTGTTTATGTACTTAGAAACATATTTATGTATGCATGTATGTACATTAAGGTGCCTCACCAAAGAAAGTTGCGGAATTATAAATTTTTATTTTTTTTAAGACCTCTGCAAAAATATTTCGAATAGCTATAACGACTTGCGTGAGCTGCACCGATTACAAACTACCTATAAAAATAGAGTTTTCCAAAAATAAAATTAGTTTTAAAAAGTATTTTCCAAAAAAAGACACATGATAGAGGAGTTTAAGCTTAAAAAGTCTGCAAGAAAATGTTTAAAAATTTTATCAACGGCATTAAAACAATGTCCAATTTTTACTAATGTAAGTAGTAAGGATTTCTAAAGGAAGTTATAAAGAGAAGAAATGGATTAGACAAAGATTAGAGACTTGAGATACTTAACAGTAGTAAGGGTTTTTTGTTTTTTTTCTGGAATTTTGAATTGTGCCGTTATTGCAGAGGACCATCGATATGTATAAACACATTTTAATGTAAGCAGTTGTACAATATTTTTCCGATTTACTCTTAATGACAGAAACCTGAACTCTTCTAGTTTGAATTAAAATCTTAAAAATAATTTTCTTATAAAACTTAAAGGGTATTAAAACTGTTTTTTTTTGTATTTTTCAAAAGCAAAGTTAGAGTAAAAAAAAGTAAAAAAATTCAAAAAATTATTTTTTCATAAAAATATTGAAACTTTATCATTTTTTTATCCTTAATAATGTAATAGAAAACAGCAATTTTATTAAAGTGTCGCCTGAAGCTCATTTAAAATTCGTAACATTTTTAGTATTGAAAATTGTATAATCATACCATTATAATTTTCTTTGAAAATTCTGCAGGCTTCGAGTCAAAATTTTTCAATTAAATTAAAATGTTCGTTCACTTGATTTTTTTTTAAATCTTTTTAAAGCTACTGAAAATACCCTCGATAAGGGACAAAGTTGGAGTTCCCTTCTACACAAAACTCTTAGTAAAGCCACACGAGTCATTCGGATTTATGAAAGTCTTTTTGCCNTTAAATTAAAATGTTCGTTCACTTGATTTTTTTTTAAATCTTTTTAAAGCCACTGAAAATACCCTCGATAAGGGACAAAGTTGGAGTTCCCTTCTACACAAAACTCTTAGTAAAGCCACACGAGTCATTCGGAGTCTTTTTGCCCGGAATTGGGGTCTGAGCTATAAGTTTATAGAGTGGCTATACCTTATGACAGCAGTCTGGTGGCGAAAAACGCTACATAAAACTTTTATAGGATTTACAAGAGCTACAAAAAATCTGTTAAACCGCGGCCGTAGGTTCGCTTCTGGGACTCCTCAAGATATCTGGAAATATTTGGCGCTATTCTTCATAAGAACAATCAAAAGAAAGATTTTTTCTGTACAAGGACTTTCTTCAACTCTTGCAAACGATAAAATACACTCAGGGACCAGTTCACTATGGAATCGAAGAAAACATGGTCGCAGGCGGACTGGTGAGGGAAGGATCATTATCCTGAGCAATTTGCTGGCCTACTTCTACGATTATCGAGGGGGTAAGCTCAGAACGCAGTAACTACTGGTGAGCGATGGTTAGCCTTAGATAGGTCTGATTGTTCGGTTCTACGCGAATGAAGCTCATCCACAGGGGAACCTTTTGTTACTAGGCATTGATCTTGGAAGGTACTGTCAGAATATCATTTATTAGGGAAGCTGCTACTGGTTTGGACTGTCAGGGTTTGGGACGTATTCTTCCAGGTCCCAGTGCCTCTTGTTTCAGTTGCACCCAATTTATTAACTAACTAAATATTTAGATCTATTTTGAAATTCATTATTTTTGCGATATCTTAGATAATATTTTTCTAATACTAAATTTTGTTTTAATTGTTTTTAAATTTTTAAAATAAGGAAGATTATTTTTTGGAATAACAAAATAAAGTATATTTTTGTGAAATTTTTTTAAGTATTTGTAATCGTAAAACTAAGAAAGTGATTTTTTTTTCAAATAAAAATGAAATGGATTATTACAAAATTGTGAAAATTGGTTTCAGTATTGCTAAATTAAAAAAAAATAAAGTTTTGATATATTGCTTGGTAATTTTTTTTTTAAATTTCTTTAATAAAACCTATTTGAAGACACTGAATACAATTTTTTTAACATTCATTAAATATAAAAAAGAATTTCCGGTTAAATTTAAAATATTTTTATTTGATATTAAAAGAATTACAAAGTCTATAAACCTCAAGTATTACAAATTTGAACGTTTTTAAAAATGAAATAAAAATGTCTACTATTTTTAAGTCTAAAAACATTTCCGTCTTTCCAATATTAAAATTAAAAATATTTTTAAGTTCTCTAATGGTTCAAAACTGATTTAAATGTTTTCGAAGTGTGGAGCTTTAAAAGCGCATAGCTCCTAAGTATCAGAAATTTAAGTGTTTTTGGAAACACAAACAAAATTGTTTGATATTTTCGAGTAAAAAAACATTTTCCTCACTTCCGATATTAAAATAATAAGCAAGTTTAAGTTCTCTAATTGTTGAAAGCTATTTTTAATATTTTCCAAAAATTGGTGGA